ATTTTGGGCCGTTTCTGTTTGTCCATTTATCATGGAATTTACACACAATATAAAAGCTAACAGGCATTTTCAGATTATGTCAGAAACTGCAAAACGACAAAAATGGAGATACAAGGTTGTGTGCCGACAGCAGCGATATGTGGTTGATTTTGTTGCTTTTATATCTTGATCTTGCATAAAATCACCACAACTTCATAAACTGTGATATAAGATTAGATAATTATTGATGTCAAATTTTGATAGCAACACATGCTAAGTAATAAGTCATGAAATAAATGAAAATTTTGGAAAATTTGGGTGGACCACCTTGTAACCCAGCAGGTCCCTGGTTCACCCTGTTACACGTCTATTTGCCTCTTCACAGAATCCAGCGGAAATCCCTTCACTCCTTCCTTTGGTGTAATCTAGAGTCAGAGCTCCACCCAGACAAGAGATTTAACACGGCGTGCCTCTGCCGCTCCATCATCCCATAGCGCAGCCAAACTCACTCTGCTTTGATCAGGAAATTTCCTTAAAGGGGGGTGGGTGGGGTGGGGTGGGGTGGGGGGTGCAAAGGGGTGCGTTGCTCCAGAGGTAGCGATATAGCAGCTCCATCACAGTGCTGAGATCTGAGCTCAGGCTCCTTCGGCTCTCTGACTGGCATTAGATGGGATGCTACAGAAAGGGTGGCGAAGATGCTAATGTTGTTGACTGAGTGATTAATGTGCGTTTTGTCTCTGGCTTTGAGTTGTTTTGTCTCTGCTCGGCTGTGTGAAAGGCATGTGTGTTAAGTAGCCTCTCAGGGAATAGTGTTTTTTTTTTTTTTTCCACCCTCTCAATAGTAATGTGTCCACAATTAGAACGCATTTAATTAGGAAACTGGTTTGTGTATTAATGACCTTATCAGTGCATGTATGTTAATTAGTATTTCGAATAGATGCTTTTTTTTTTTGAAATTGAATCTTAGGATAAATTCAAAGGATTCTAAACTGATGGAACTTTTCTTTGATGTTCCTTTTTTGTATGTGTGTATATCATATTAGGCGTTGAACATAAAACGGGCCTGCTTGCTGTTTTGAACCCTGATGAAATCGAGGTGGTCTTAATTGACTGGTTGTTGCTTGTTTATTTGATATATGTATAAACTTATCAGAGGAATGGTAATAGGGAGCTGTAATTACCTTCAAAAGACTGAGCCAGCAACAAGTTTGCATCTTTTTCTTTTTTTAACCTGAGAATAGAGAGAGATGAGAGAGATGAGAGAGATGGTTAACCAAGTGACCCCCAGTGAGAGTCATTTATTGCCATTTTTTAAAAAAGAAAGTCGTTGATTTTTTTTTATTTTATTTTTTATTTCATGCAAACCGCAGCAAGACACTAGTGTTCCAACACATGAACACAAGTTTTAAACATGTTGAATGATGTGATGTCCTACATTGTACCTAATGTAGGTGAGTTTGTCCCATAAACATGGCTGTTGAGCTGCACTGGTTGAACGCGCTGCAGGCAAATATTAATTTAGGACATCTGCAGATTCAGGTCTTGGGAATAGGACTGAAAGGTTACTTACTATTTGCAATTTTATTTATTATTCCAGCCTACATGATCAACAACATCTTAACTTTAACCTAATAACAAAAGCTTGTGGACCTCTTGTAGATGAATAAGACCAATCAGAAGCAATCAAATACTCACCTACACTGTTAGAAATAAAGTTTCTAGGTACAATTTTTTTGTTCATCAAAGTGCAAATAATGTAAAGTTTCCCTCAAAGGTACAACAGTGGTTTCAAGGTCAAATTGCGAACCTTAAATAAGTTTTTCCAGGTGAAAAGTTTGTATTTGTACCTTTTCATAACCAAATGTTTTAAAACAGAACAGTAAAATAAAAGCCTGTAGACGAGACGGGGTGTGTGGAGTCAGTACAGCTTAGAAAATATAATTTTAACGGATTATGGTTCAGTTATGTTCCCTGACTAAAGGTACTGAGATGTACCCTTGAGGGTTCCACCCGAGTGAGAGAGGGCACTGCCCCAGTGACAGTTTCATACCTTTTTTTTCTGAGAGCGTACTTCGCACAACTAACTGACAGTCTGGTGTACAATGTTTGTTGCTCAATTCTCAAGCCATAAAAAGTGAGTATGCTGAAATTAATTGCAATCTAAATTGCATTCACAACGTTGATCAGAAAAATGAGATTTTCCCCAAATTGTTCAGCCCTACTTGGGCAAAAACATTTTGTTCTCTCAGCTCTTGTAGCTAAGCTAAGCATCTGCAGACATAATGAGTGACCTTTGCAATTTACGCTTTCATCTCTAAATTAACAATGACAGTATAGTACAACCACCTTTTTCTGAACTGTGCATTTATGTTGAGAAAGTATAAGTTTAAACATAAGACGCTGTCACGTTCTTTGCTGCTGCATCCACATCAGAGTTTGAGACCAGCTACTATTGTTATTGTTATTAATATTTTTAGCAGTAGTAGCAGTAGTAGTAATAGTAGTAGTAGTAGTAGTAATTAGTTGTAGTAGTCATAATATCTCTTTGAGGACGTCAGGTAATACTTCTGGACATGTCATCACAGACATATTATGACTACTACCACCACTTACTACTGCTACGGCTATTATTACTATTGTTGCTATTATTATTATTATTATTAATATTAATAGTAGTAGTAGTAGTAATAGTAGTAGTAGTAGTAGTAGTGGTGGTGGTGGTGGTGGTGGTAGTAGTCATAATATCTCTGTAAGGACATCAGATGATGCTTCTGGACATGTCATCAGTAACTCTGAGCTGGAAAGTAGATGCCAGATCATATAGTCATAGTGGTTTAATGTTTATGTGTATTTTCCACATGGTTTTCCGACTAAGAGCATTCTGTCACAGGCCTTTCTGAACATAATCTAGTCTGACTCCTCGAGCTTGGCACTTTACTTTTGAGTGAAGGTTTTGTAAGAAGGGTGCTTAGTGTCGATTTGGGGCGCAGCCTAGGGTCTCCAGGGAGCTACGTAAGACATTGCACGTGGGGTGTGTGTAAACAGTTTTTGTTTCTGCGCTGGCTGTAGCTCTGCAGGGGCTGCCATCCAGGTGGTTTGGGTCTTCGGCGCTCACCAGCTGCCCCCGAAACAATTCAGACTGTTTACCGGGGTGCCATGACAACGTCTCTTCCAGTCAAAAAATAACCATGGATGTCATAATTATTTACATGTTTTAATACAGTACATTTGCTCACAGTTCCAGGTGTTGCTATCCTGGCTCTTTTCATAAGATTGAACAATGGCTGGGTTGAGTTAAGCAGAGAATCTGTCATATTACTAGTGCTTTCCTTTTTTAGTATCTGTTGCGACTGAGTGCAGATCTTTTGACTTGGTTGTTTGTCTGAGTGATTCAGAGCATCTGAGTTTTATATTGTCTTTTTCTGCCATGCTTGCTTTCATAAACAAGCTGGCACATAAGATGCTTTTTTTCTTAATTATCTCTCTGTGAAAATCACTATTTTTAGCCCTTTGTGTACAACATGCTCATCTGACTGTGTTTTTGAATGGCATAGTGCCGCATTCAGAAAACAAAATCTGTTGACGCACCTTTTAATAAGCGAAGGTTTGTATTTGGGCCGGATATGTTATAAATACCTCCACTGCTCGGCGCTGTGGGTCTGAAAGGATGTGTAGCTGTCAAGAAGCCTCACTGAGAAAAGGAGACGGACACATCAAACAAAAAAGCTGAACAGTGGACTGACCACCCCAGAGTCCAGACCTCAACATCACTCAATGTGTATGGGATGGTCTCACTTTATTTGGAGAATCCACTATAGCGCCCTATAGATTCTCCACAGATGTTCAAATTGTTAACAAACTATCTGTTGAAAACTCAGTTGATTCTAAACAGTGGTGGGGGTGGGGTTAGGATTTGGACCAGGGTTTAGGGCTGTGTTTAGGTTTTGGGTTGAGGTTAAGATTAGAGTTAGGATTAGAGCAGGTTTAGAGTTAAAGACAATTATGGTGAATTTAGTAGATATTTAGTTGAATGTATCTTGAAAGTTAATTAAGTTTCTACAAAGCATCTAAAGTGGACTATCAAAATAAAGTGTTACCTTTGTTGTTACTTGGATTGTGAGAACTTCTAAGACTGAACTTTGGAGATATATAATATCCCTGCAGATTCCTTTGCACAACTGAATATATCTCCTGAAAAGAATGCAATCTGTAATAAAGGCAAAGATGGACATATTATACTATATTTAGTTGTTGGAGCTTCTGTGTAACTTTCTGTTAAATATGATTTCTGCTCTTTTTCCTGACAATGTTTTCATGTTTTGGCTAAAAATGAAATGAAGGGTGGTCGCTGACCTTTGCTGTCAGAGACTGACTGTAAGTTTCTGCTGTTTGAGTTTAAATGGCCCTATTTTGTAGGCAAAACCAATATAGAGGGCTTACACATTTGTAGGGTCTGGTTGGGAGAAAATAAAGACCTCTGAGCACCGATGACTCTACATAGCAGTGTGAGGAATAATTTCTGGAAATTGTTCTAAAAGCATTTTCATGTAAAGCGCAAACATAATACATGATCTTCTAAAGTGTTGACTAATCAATTCATCAATGCAAAGTGGACCTAAAAAAATGAGAGAATCAATCGTTTAATTTAATATTGCAGGGTGGTGAGCTGGGAATTTTGAGTGCATTTCTGTGTACTTATGTCGATTGTTTATGATGATTGAAAGAGGACTGCAGCCCTTATTATGCTACTAGAAGTTTGTTGATGCGGTGCTCCGAGTTTGCGTGTTTCTATGATGTCTCATAGGCTGTTTAGGCCGTTGGCCCCTTCAGTGCAAATTAAACTTGACTTAATATGAGTTGGTTGATTAGCACAATTAGCTCTCATTAAACAACAAGGCCGTGATTCAATCAGGCTTAATTGCATGTGCGCATGCAGGAAGCGTTCGCTAAGCTCACGTAGTGACATTAGAAAGCGATTCAATCTTTGTTGTATTCTAATGGGAATTTACCTGCCATTTCAGAGTCTTCAGGGAGAAGCTGGTGGAAGAAGAGGTCGAGACTGATCTTCTGCAGTTGCACCTGAGAGTCCATTTCCCAACAGGTAAACAGGTTGTCCATCATCTCTGCTGGCAACAGCAACCCACTCTCATTTCAATAAGTGAGTTCATGACAGCAGTTATGGCTCGTTTCCTGTTTAGTCAAATCACTGTGCGTTTCACAAGTGTTTTTTCATCCATTTCTGTGGCACCGTGCAGCAAAGTGACTCAAAACACACTGACAAAATTGAAAGTGGCAAAAATGGAGTGTCTTACACTGGCCAGATGTAAACATTCAGATCGAGGTACATGAAAAGGGGTTCCACAACAGTCAGTAAACTCGAAAGAGCTTCATTTAGGAGTCTAGGGGGTGGGCAATATGAAGTAATTTTATCATTATCATTATAAATGACATCATAATATGCTTTTCCGGGCATATTGCAGATACTGTCAGTAATTAAACAGCACTGTCTAACTGCATGTCGTCACTGTCCAAAGAAAAACGTGTCTCCATTTGTGTCGATTTTTAGTTTTCTGCATCATTTGAACATGGGGGCTGTCCTTTGCATTGTGTGTACATTTCAGGAGGAATGGACCAATAGCAATGCTCTAAAATTACTTGGATTAAAATATCTTTACATTTGCCCTCTTCTGTAAAGTTACCATTTTAAAGATGCTTGTTTTTCTTTAGACAGCGATTATGTGTAACTACAAAGTTGCCATAATTATTAGGGATGCGCCAATATGGGAATTCTGGGCTGATACCGATATCTGATATGTACATATCTATCGATATAGATGTTGATATGTATGCATGCATTTAGATAATATAAATCTTGGCAGTAAATATTTTATGATGCACATATTTTAGCACAGTATCCCACCATCCACTAAACATTCTGCTATTCTGAGTTTTAAATAAATCATCAAATATCAGTTTGAAATATTGATCAAATCTGTCCAATGCTGATAATTTTTTTAAGTGAATTTTTTTCCAATACCGATATAAATCTGATATCATGTTTCCTCCTTAATGATTAGTCCGGTGTCTTAGATTTATTACATAGTTTGTGGATGTTTTAGGTATATTTTTAAAGTGTGGCATTAGTGGTTTGGGCTGTTAACTTGAAACATAAATTAAAGTTGAATTTTCTCCTTGTTTTTTTGGTCAAATATTCAAATATTTTCGAATTTTAAGTAACAGGTAGAATATATAACTGCAATCAGTGCATCCTCAAAAGTTCTCTCATGTTGTAAATGACCCTGGGAGTTGCAACATGATTGGCGAAAAAAGGTGCAGAAACCTGTTCTTTCATAACTTTGAGACTGAGCATGACTTTTTCATAAAATATTCAAGAAATATTTGAATTTCTAATTTAATTCTGACAGCCCTACTACTGCTGCATCTTTGTCTTCCAACGTACCAAAGCTGATAAAAACTAAACTGTGATGTATTCTGCATCGTGAAAATATCTTGTTGTGACATACTTTTGCCATTTTGCCCACCCCTACAGAAGTTCACTGAAAGTTGAATTACTTTCTCAAGAATATTTAGGGTGTGTTGGTTTAGTGACTGTTTAGTTGACCTGTGAAGACCCATGACTTCCTCTTTTCTACTCCAGCTGAGCTACAACAGAGCACACGATGCACGAATGGCACAACTAGAGTGCTATAATATTCATCACTTGTTTATTGCTGGCTGTGGATCTGTGGTCTAAATAGATCAAAGCTTGTTAAAGCAAGCCCTGAAAAAGCGTTTTAATGCGTTTTAAGCCCCGGCCCCGCGCAATTTGGCCATCAGCGGCAACCGGCAACCGAAATAACCAAATTATTTAGTCATGGCTTTTTAACGGGCACCACGGTAAATGGATGTTAAGTAAATGATGCAATTTATCCCCCCGACCACCCCCCCACCCCTTGCCAGGCTAGGCTGCCGCGGGACTTGTGCCAGCCTTAAATAAGTGGTACCCAGATGGCACGCGCCTGACGCCCACTTGGTTACGGAATCCTTCCCCGGGAGTTACTCCACCGCCACCAACAAGCGATAGGTCAATCGAGCGGTGGGCGCCTGTTGCTCAGCCCCCGCTTAGCATATGCAAATTCACTCATGTTGTGCTGTTTTCCGGATATTCCCTCCAAAGGAGGGCGGGCTCTCTGGGACCGGGGGGGAAGGAGGGGCGTCCCAGCATGATTTGGAATGGAGCCAGGCTAATGAGGGAAGAGGGAGAGAGGTAAAAGAGGAGATGTTCATGTCCTCAGCATGCTTCCTCATTGCTTCCTAGTAGCTGGGGTTCTGGCTGTAATGGGATAGTCCAGCAGGCACTAGCATAAGTGATTTTAATCCTTCTTGGCTCTCTCCTTTTGAACATGGGTCTATTTTTAGGCCTTGTAGAAGACAATGCCAGGGTGTTCTTTCTTTTTGCATCCTCTAGCCCTTGGCTTCTCTCTTTCTCTCTCTATCGTCCATTGTTTTTCTCCATTACTTTCCCAGCGGCTCTCTCCATCTTTCTGTCTGCCATACTTCTACACAGAGCTTCACAAGGTGCAGCTGCTGAGCTCTGCTCCTCTGTATTAGCGGACTGTCTCTTCCCCCCCTTTTAACAGCGCCCAGCTGCTGGGCCAAGCTGCCGAGGCAGCAACACGCGGGGATGGGCTTTCTGCGGCCGAGGAACAAGTAAACAATACTCTTCAAAGCTCAGTTATCTCCACCCGAGGCACTGTTTACGTGTTTGCAAGAGGATGAGGTTGCGCTTTTTGAAGGGATCTTGAAGGCCTTTTAACGGTCATGTTAGAGGGCATGTGTCAGGCTACCTGCCAAAAAATGAAAATATTGACACATTCTGTTGTATAAATACTTTCAAGGAATGGTTTACAAATGGCCCTCATTTACACAAATCAGCCTAGACCTATTCAGTGCCCACATAAACCTAATGAGCATGGACCTATTCGGTGCCCAAACTTTTGCTTTTCACATAAAAATCACACAAAAAGTTTTTGGGTGACAGACTGCCACTTACTTGTTAGCTATATTAGCCTCGTAGCTCAAGTGCAAAACTAAAGAAGCAAACTTTTGGCTGATTGACATTTGGGAAGATTTTTCATCCATTGCCTTCATTTCTTATCCTCCACCCCTAAGCCCCCCCTCACCCCCCACACAAATTTCTGCGTAACAAGTGATTCTGAAGTGGTGCATTGTAGAGAAGCTTTTTTTTTGTACAGTCTGCAATGTCTTCAACACAAATATAGCCATTTTAAAAGCACCAGTGAACCTGTATGTGTATTCTGAGTTTTATACGTGATGTTTATAATCGTAAAATAACGATAAATCTAAATAAAACAGTTTTACAATGCCTTGTTTCTTCCTCTCCCAGCAATGAATGAATTAAACATTTTCAGGCCAAAACCTTCTTAAAACTATGATAAAACACCCTCTCTGTTTCTATCACCATCACTGTGAGCAGTTCTGACTCATCTTTTTACATTAAACCACTCTGGATAACTTTCTTAACATCTTAATGACTGAATTACGCAGAAATTCTGATAAATCGGTAGAATTTCTGTTGAAGGGAATGAGCTGCTGAATGCACACCGAGGACCAGAAGAACGTTAGAAATCAAAACAGGGTATAAACAGTATAATAGTCCAACAACAGTAATTACTAATTCTTTCGTTGGGCAGAGAGTGAGACATTTGGGCCGGAAATTTGTTTGAGATGCAGATGTTTACCTGGCTGTTTCACGAGATGTGCACAAACCAAACTGCACAGTTGCAATTTTCCTTGCAACTATGCAGTTTTTGTGGGAAGAAAGAATGTGTTAACTCTACCCCACCCACTATTATCACGGCTTCTTCCTTTTGAAATTTTTATTTGTTCATCTGCTGTTGTTCTTGCGAATTAGTTCATCAGGTAACTTTCCTCCTTCTGCGTCGGCGGAGCTGATGCGTGATGAAATGGAGGCATTAACGTTGGCCTGTTGGAGATCCGAGACCACCGGATCTCTTGTGACCTGTCTGGGGTGCATTTGAGTCATGCTGGCTTTTGCGCAAAAGCTGTGAATCTACACGTCACTGGCACGAAATTCTATGGAATAATAATTTGTGCACCAGTGAATCTGTGAAAATGTTCTTCAGCAAGTCAAACTGCTAACTACTCTTTCACATTCAGTGAAGTGTGGGAGTTGGCTGTTCTACCTTGATGAATCATCTCCAAGTAGACTTCTAGGCGGAAACACCTGTTTTAAGTTGTTTTAAAAGAAAAGGTTGATGAATATGAACTATTCTTCTAGTTATATCACTTCTTATGTCGCCAATGCTGCAATAGGGCTGTTAGCTTGCAGGGAAAATTAATTGACCACCAATTAGTATCAAGGCAAGGCAAGTTTAGTTATTTTATTTAATCAACCATGCATTCACCTTTAGAACTTGGTTACGGCCGTTATAATGAGAATATAGTTACACTATGCTTTTTAATAAGGGTTTTATTACTTTTTCCATTAATGGCATTAATTCATGATCTATTTAGAGTGAATTGTGCATTGACTTTGTTTTTTTCATTGCGGTGCACTAATTGGATTCTGACTGACTTTTTTTTTTTTTAAACAATTAGTGACATTGCAGCGCTAAAAATATAAACTAAATTGCATTTTTCATCCCTCAGTCATGTTAAATTGGTTATTAGTAAATTGATTATAAAAATTACAACTAGTGATGTGCAATTAGAAGTAAAAGTGAAGTCATGTAACTGGAAAAGTGTCACTTTTTTCCATTGGTTCATATTAGCATGTGTAAAACAGGGAATATATAGCAAGCAACATATATTTTAGGCAGCAAACTTCAGCTGACTTAGTGGTAAGCATTAAGACATGGACTTGCATTGAGCGTGAACTTGACTATATGCCTTGAAATTGCAGATTTAATGTGAACCACAAATGAGAAAATTACTACATATGTTATACATAGAGTGAGATTTATAAAAAATGCCAGTTATCTTCGCTTTCAGCTTAAATACTTATTAAATGAAACGAAAAAACAATATAGACCCACTAACCTGAGAACAGAGTGATCT